TGGCAAGCAGTTTTAGGAAGTGATTTTTCAGGTTCAGATTTTAAATGCCATATTAACATTCTTGGATCTCTCCTAGTCATGTCCCTGGGGTGTCAAGAAAAAGTCAGGAGCTTTAGTGGGCAAATAAAAGTACAGTATCAGTTACTGAAATGAGTAAACGTTGCTAAAATGGCCCCTGAAGCCAATCCATCCTTTCTGAGCTCATTTCTGTCAACTTCGTCTCACCCAATGTTACTGTATTTGGAGGTTTTGCTTTATTTATTATCTTGATTTCTGCAATACATTTTGAGAGTCAAGGAAAAATATGAGCATGAGCGGTGTCATGTTTTGTTGAGCTTACTATTTGTGTGATAGCACTTATTGGAAATGAAAATGCAGTGTATGCCTCCACAACTGTACCCAGCTAACTTCCTATTACTTTAGTCTATGTAAATATACTTTTAAAATCTTAAATGAATGATACCATGCATGTACACGATACTGAACTTGCTCCTCTTCTCTTCTGGTGTACTAACTGGCATGTAGGTGGCGCGTAAACCGGAATTAAACTTCCCGTCGAGCGAGTAAAAAGAATTGACCAATCGGAACGTGCGCGGGCTTTTTAAAATTCTAACCACTTCCTTGTCGTAAGTAAGAAACCTGAATCAAAAACTCCGAAAAGCCGATGGTGAGCCATCTATTCAAGATACGATTCCCCGGAGTTTTTTACAGAGGGGTGGCACACGTAGGGGCCCTTAACTCCCCTTGCTTTAGTAAGCCTTGCTTACTATGACATTAACTGTAACTTGACGGTTTCGCTTTAAAGTTTTAAGTAGAAAAGCTGAAAACGTAAACAAGACTTTAGTAAATATACTGTTGCACGGCTCTTATTATGGAGGTTGGTCGGGAAGGCAACAATGATCGTAAGTTATTCAGTGCACAGCCATTTTCGGAGATCTCTGGGTGGCTCTGAAAAGAGCCTTTGGGGTTCTGTCGTTTTTAAACGCCGACTACCTACTTCTTTTTGGGAGCTGCCTTCTTCGCCTTCGCCGCTTTGGGCTTTGCTGCCTTGGGCTTGGCGGCTTTGGGTTTGGCCGCCTTCGGTTTCACTGCCTTGGGCTTGGCGGGGCTCTTGGCAGCCTTCTTCGGCTTGGCGGCAGCTTTGGCCTTCTTGGGACTCTTGGCCACTTTTTTGACGCCAGCGGCCGCGGGCTTCTTGGCCTTCTTGGGAGTCTTCTTCACGGCTTTCTTCGCTCCCGCAGTCTTCTTGGGCTTTTTAGGAGTGGCCCCTGCAGGCTTCTTGCCTTTGGCTGCCCCCGCCTTCTTAGCCTTGGGCTTAGCTTCACCAGAAGCCGCTTTTTTGTTGAGCTTAAAGGAACCCGAAGCACCGGTACCCTTGGTCTGCACCAGAGTGCCCTTGCTCACCAGGCTCCTGAGACCCAACTTGATGCGGCTGTTGTTCTTCTCAACGTCGTAGCCACCAGCCGCGAGCGCCTTCTTGAGTGCAGCCAAAGACAGGCCATTGCGCTCTTTGGAGGCAGCCACAGCCTTAGTGATCAGCTCAGAGACTGGGGGCCCGGTAGCCTTGCGCTTAGCCGCGCCACCGCTCCCGGACTTCTTGGTTGCCTTCTTCTTGGCAGGAGACTTCTCCACTGGCGCCGGGGCAGCCGTCTCAGCAGGAGCGGTTTCCGACATAGTGATGAAAGTACCTACTAAAGGAAGAGAAACTCAAAATGCAAAGAGCAAGGTTTGCAATGCTGTCTTGCTGGGGCCCGGGACTTATATAAGCCGGTGCTGCCCTCTGATTGGTGGAGCGTCCAATCCACCTCCCTCGGGCAGCCGCCTCTCCCGGTTGGACTCTCAAATTGTGTTTGTTAGTCCCCAAAATTTGATTAAATGATGAAAACAATAGTACAGAATTTGACGCTTTGATGCTCCAAGGGAGGAAAACAGCCTTCGGGTTTACGTATTTGTTTGTGTTTTCATAAATCACGCACAATTGATGAAAGATATATTTAAAAATCCCTTAGGCTTTTCATATGAATCCACCCGGCTTAAGTCGTCCTGCTACTTAGTTGCATGTTGCGATAAATTTTTACTAAGTATCAAGTTAACGTTTTTTAAAAAGATTTGTTCCTAAATTCAGCCTTTGATTTTTGCAGGAGGAAAGACACTAGGTTCCTTGGTTTGGACATAAACTTTGTTTCAAACTGTAGCAAGTAACACAGGCGTAGGGTGGCTGGTTGCCTACAGCCCCAAATTAAGCACATGGACCTTACTTTAAAAACCGGTTCTGCCTCCTAGGAGTTTCCACATGCCAATGCCTTTAGAGAATGGTATTTTGCAGCTTGGAAAAGTTCAATTGCCAGAGTGACTTCTTCCACCTTGCTCCAAGAGGAATAGAAATTGCTTTGGCTTCAGGATCCGTCGACTTGGATTCAAATTCAAACTTAAATTTGGTACGTTTTTATTGAGATGCTTTCTCTCTTTGATTCCTAAGTGAACCCATTAAAATAAGGACGGAAAATGCTTAGCCCAGATAATGTCCTTTAGAAAAATCTCTGAAACCTGCTTCCAGTAGCCTTCAGGAGCACAAACTGTTTAGATGAATGGGACTTGGTCAGGTTTTCGAGGTGCTCTTCCCAATGCTCTCACTCAAACTCCTTACCTCCATCAACATTTACCAAATTGCATCCTCAGGAATACCCTCTTTTGTAAGCAGCCAGAAGACATCAATGTGGGTATTTTTTGTGTGTTTAAGTGAGGATAGACGTGTATTTTAGAAAAATAATTGGCTACTGACTATAAGAAGGGTAGATTGGGTATTGAGGGACAGGAGGTTATAGAGGTTCTGAAGAATTCAGGAAAATATTAACATCCAAAGGAGTTCAGGCAATGACCATGAGTTGGAATGGAGAGTGAGGTTTGCTATTTATTTGGGGGTGGGGTGGAGAATGGAGAGGATTTTGTGCCTGGATGGTAAGAGATCAGGTAATGGTTATGATCTCTAATGCAGTCAACAGTCAATGCTTCCCTGTGAAAAACTGTTAGCCAACACACTTCATCTTCTCTCCAGGAGCTCTTGGATTTGAAAATTCAGTCAACTATGGCCAAATCTGGACAATGACTTGTTTTTGTATGGCCCTCAGGCTAAGAGTGGTTTTTATATTTTAAAATTGTGTTAGGGGCCGGCCCCGTGGCTTACCGTTTAAGTGCACCCACTCCGCTACTGGCGGCCCGGTTCGGATCCTGGGGGCGCACCTACGCACCGCTTGTGCCGCCATGCTGGGGCCGCGTCCCACATACAGCAACTAGAAGGATGTGCGACTATGACATAGAACTATCTACTGGGGCTTTGGGGGAAAAATTAAAAAATAAAATAAAAAAATTAAAATTGTGTTAGAAAAGAAAAATGCGATGAAGACCATATGTCTCCTGCAAAACCTAAATAAACTATTTACTAACTCTCTGGCCCTTTTGCTGTGTTTTGAACTCCTCCACATAGACGCAGTTCATGGTATATTGCTACAAGCTTGCCTCTTTCAGAACAATGCAAATCGAGAACTAAAAGAAAAGATTTTAACAAGAAAATGTTCTGAACAAGCATTTCCACTGTTTTTATCACAAAACTTTCAGAAGATCCAGAGGAAAAAACCTTCCATGTTTAAGCAGCAGGAGAGGGTGATAACTTTAAGAGCTAATATTCATTGAGCATTTACTAAGTACCAGGAACTAATCTAAGATACTCTACAGGTTTTAATTTGTCACATCATACAGCTGGACAAGCTGAGTCCCAGAAAGAGGATGAGTAATTTACCAAAAATTATACAGCTAGTACTTGGCAGCTCTGAGTTTGAACCTAGACCGCTTGGCTTCATCTCCATTATGATGGGGAGATCCTGAAAGGGATGCAGAGAGAGAATAATCTTTGAAGTTTGGAAGAGGCAGCATCAAATCGTCCTTACACCTAGCAGGAAGCCAAAAAAGGAGCGCTAAATTAATCTGTAGGGAGAAGCTTCTGGCTCCATGGATCAGAACCGTTTTTGCTGAATCAATTCCAAAAAGCTTTAGAAGGAGCCAGTGATGAAATATAAGCCTCTCTGGAAGGGCAAATACAAAAATAGGGGAAAGAAAGGAAGGCTCAGATGGCTGACCTGCCTTCGAACACTCAGGAGAAAAATTGCCTTCACATAACTCCGCTAGCTCCTGGAGTTAGGATGTGTACCCAAAAGCGTAAACAGAAAAATAAGGCAATGATAGTCGTACATGAGGAGACTTTTTAAAAAGCTGAAAACATTGGACAACATTAATAAGGAGTCAAGTTTGGAAACAAGGAACAACTTCAAAATGACATCTCACCTTTAATTTCCAGTCTCATTCTCTATTTGGAAAAACAAAACAAAACAAAATATGAACATCCAATTTATAGACTGACAGGCAGATTTTGAAAATACTTGAGCAAATTTTTTTTTAGATTTTTACAGCTATTGGGAGCTCATTTTACAGATGACAGCCTGCAAGTCAAAGTGTCCAGGCCTTTGTGGGCCCACTGTTTTCCACACATAATCACATACATGCAAAGCCCCTAACATATGCCTTTGTTAAACGTTACAAAAGAGCAACAGAAAAGCTAGCAAGTTTCTAAACACTCATGACGATACTTGTTCTATTCCTTCGTGTCACAGGAAAGAAAATTAAGAGGCATATTTCTTAGGTCATCCCAGGAATCCTTGGCAAAATTAAGCTGTATTTGCCATTTGCACAACTATCCACAGTAATTTGAACTAAACTTTTCTAAGGCATAAGCCAGTGTTGCTTCGGTTACTACATGTAGCCAAGGGTGTTTCTGAAATGCTTGTATCATTTTAAGAATGCTTATCCAGAAACAGCTCCTCACTGCGCAGAGTACAAGCAAGGTGTTCCCGTGGAATCAAGTCGTTGGGTTTACAGAATACACAGCCACCTCTCCAGCCTGTAGACCAATCTCCCAACTGAGCCCACAATAACTATTTCGTCGAAACGCTCTGCACACTTTTCATATAGTGCTACCATATATTCTGTAGAACAGCTCCCTTTTGGTGACAACGGAGGGGCTCTGAAAAGAGCCTTTTGGGGTAGAGTATGTCAGGTGGAACACTAGGAAGTTTAAGCTCTTTCCCCGCGGATGCGGCGCGCGAGTTGGATGTCCTTGGGCATGATGGTGACGCGCTTGGCGTGGATGGCGCACAGGTTGGTGTCCTCAAAGAGCCCCACCAGGTAGGCCTCGCACGCCTCCTGCAGCGCCATCACGGCCGAGCTCTGGAAGCGCAGGTCGGTCTTGAAGTCCTGCGCGATCTCGCGCACCAGGCGCTGGAAGGGCAGCTTGCGGATCAGCAGCTCGGTGGACTTCTGGTAGCGGCGGATCTCGCGCAGCGCCACCGTGCCGGGCCGGTAGCGGTGGGGCTTCTTCACGCCGCCGGTGGCCGGCGCGCTCTTGCGGGCCGCCTTGGTAGCCAGCTGCTTGCGGGGCGCCTTCCCGCCAGTGGACTTGCGAGCTGTCTGCTTGGTGCGAGCCATAGCTAAGCAGAGCCAACTACTTAACACTAATGAGAGCAAGAAGCAGTCGTCCCAGTATTTATAACGACCCTCGCGTTCTGATTCGACAGCAGACTGCTGCCCCGCCCCGCCTCGCCCTCAGAATTGGCTCTTGGTTTAATTCTCTAAAGAAAGGAAGCGTTTTCCCGCCTCTCCTTCAGTTTTTAAGATAATGTACAAAGAAAATATCTTACTGGCTTTTTAAAAAGCCTCTAGGATGCATCAAAATTCTCAAGAAAATGTTGTCTTCAGAATGCGAAAGCACCTTGCACTATTTTAAGTAAAAGGCTTCATGATTGCATCCTTGGCAAAAAATCTTTACTGAATAACATGAAAGGGAACCGAGAATACGTTAAATGTAAGTATTGAAGCGGGGTTTGAAATTCTAGCCACTATGGGCTATGCCAGTGTTCTCAAACTTCACCGTGCTTAGGAATCAACGAGCTCGTTAAAACAAGGGTCAGCCAACTCTTTAAAGGTCATAGTTTACTGTCTTTGCCATTGTAGTGCGAATGCAGTAGACAGTAAATAGATGAGTCCGACTTTCAATCTTTGTTGTAACAGGTAGCGCATATTTAATAATGGCCGGAAGATCTGCCATTTTACTAGGTGATGGAGATGCTGATGGGGGGGAGGCGGCTACCGAAGCAGTTAGGAATGTTTTAGGGACCTTACTGTTCAAGATCTTACATTTCCCAAAAAACTAACCCGACGCTTGTACCTGCTTAGCGTACGGTGCTACTGAAAGATGCCTACAGCTCTTTAACAGATTTTGTGGGTGGCCCTGAGAAGGACCTTTGAGTGATGGAATAACGTGTTAAGACAAATCTAGCCGCCGAAGCCGTACAGGGTGCGGCCCTGGCGCTTGAGCGCGTAGACCACGTCCATGGCGGTGACCGTCTTGCGCTTGGCGTGCTCGGTGTAGGTGACGGCGTCCCGGATCACATTCTCCAGGAAGACCTTGAGCACCCCGCGGGTCTCCTCGTAGATGAGGCCGGAGATGCGCTTGACGCCGCCGCGCCGGGCCAGGCGCCGGATGGCGGGCTTGGTGATGCCCTGGATGTTGTCGCGCAGAACCTTGCGGTGGCGCTTAGCGCCGCCTTTGCCCAGACCCTTCCCGCCTTTGCCACGACCAGACATGTCTGTGACTCGAGCAGATGCAATCCGTCAACCCTCCGCGGCAGTGTTTTATATAGTGGTGTGTCGGACCTGTTTGAGAACTGCGCACGCCAGCTGTATCCGCCCAGCGGAGTCACAGACCCGAAGCCCTGCCCACGTTTTCGGGAAAAATGGAAAGGGCGGTGCTTAAACTCTGGTCTAAAATCACGCCTAACTAAAAATGCCTCAGTCCTACTTCTCCTCCCACAGTGTTTTGCGCTCTCCCACCGCTGAAAGCCGTTCCTTTGTCTGGGTCAGGCTTTGCTGTTTTTTTTTTTTTTTTCTGTCACCTCTTAGAATCGATCGCACTAGCGCCTTGTGGCTGGTGGACGCGAATGGCCCATTTCGAGCTGTGATTACAGTCATTTGGGGGCATTTGTGAAACCTTCTCGTACATAAAGTGCCTTCGGGTAGTCTCAACTTAGCCTGAGAAGCGGCTGACTGCAATTAACGCCGCCAGATTATAGACAGCTTCGAGGTGGGGTTCCTCACCTTTCTCAACTTGGGTTCTCTCCTCTTTTCCTTACCTTTTACTCATCCTATCGGCTACCTTTCCCTTCTCTCCCTCACTGGCACATTTTTGGGGGAGAACTGGCTTTTTCAAATTTCCTTCATCAGGCTTGGAAACTTTAGGAAGTCGTTTGAGGAAGAAGGTCAGCTTTACTCGCCATTTCCTTGGCGAGTCGATGAGCTGGTGAAAACGCCTTTCAGTGCACCCTCCTCTTCCCCCTTCCCTCCTTTGTTGGACTGGGAAATCAACACCAGAAACCCTGTGCCTTTCATTTACAACTAAAGTGCAGAATGTAGAGACCAGGAAGGACTCTATTCCAGGAAAAGAAACTCTGAAAGACGGAGTGACAGAAGGTTTCCATGACTCCAGCTGTTTGGAATGACCTCCTTCTGGCCCTGGCTTGTCTTCCAGGTATCAGATTCCGTTTCTTCCGGGAAACTTGGACAGCCTTCTCCCACCCACATCCACCTTTCTCTTTTCCCGAGCATCAGTAATGTTTACCCTTTCTATTTCAAATTGTGTGATTGATTTACTCCTTGAACAAATGTCTAATTTTATTCTAGGAATCAGTTTCCAAGTTCTTTATAAACTCCTCTATGGTTACTGTAGGTGCAAAACATTACCTGCCTATGTTCTATGGGTTAGTCTATTTTTTTATTGCGCTTTTAGTCTGGCCTCTTTTTCTCTCCGTGTGTAATAATGGCATCTGAGTGCTTAACCTTGAAAGTGTAAACCCGGTATCTGCTGGTGGAATAATCTCAGCAATCCTCTTGCCTTGCAACTAAGGAAAAACCAGGGGGCATTCTGCCTCATGCTAGCAGCTGTTCTGGAATATGTTATTTTAGGAGCAATCTTTTCAAGACAAACTGAGAAAACTTATCAGTGCTCCTTTATCTGGTGACGGTAACATACTCTGAAAGATCTGTAATTTGGTTTGGTTGCTTTGACAATGTTTTGCCCTGGAAAGGATATTTATGTTCACATCTGTTTCCCAGAGGTATAATTCTCTTTGTTAAATTAGATACTTTGTTAATTCTCTTCTCCCACCTGCAGAGCAAATAGACTGCAGATTTTTTAGTTTAAACAGAGTTTGAAAATCTCGTTTCATTTAAATTAGGCACTATTAAAATGCTTCCTTTTGGTTTTTCTTAGCCAATAATAATGCTAATTGACGTGAGTTGTCCAATAAAATCTTGTTGAATAATTGAGATAAATACTTAGGGGCTTTTTTCTCACATTAGGAGAGAGATTCTTTTCCAAAGGAAATGTTGGCAGTGTTTTAAATTCCATAGAATTCTCTTCCCCTTTAATCAGATGAATAAATGAGGTGTACTTGCCTTTCCAGGGTTCTGAGGGTTTCTTACTGATCCACACTTGTTTGGTTGATAATTTCTTAACGTTATTAGTTCCAAGTTTTGGGCTCAAGCCTTTTCACTATTGTTATGTTTTCAATTTGATATGCTACACATTATTTCCTAGACACCTGATTTTGTTTGGTTTGTTTTGATTAAGGCTTTGAAATCGGCTGGTGGGTTGTGTTTTACATCTCTTTTACTTTTCTTTCATTATTCTTCATTCAAAATTAGCTTACCTACTACTAATTGGTACCTCTCCTAATTCTCATTTGTCTTGTCTCCAAAATACATACGCACTCACACATAAACATGCACCCACATATACTAATCCAAAACACCATTAGCCCTTTAGATCCACTCCATGAAATTATCCTCTCAATTTTTTTCTTCCATTCCATAGTGTCTCACCCTTCCAAATATATTGGTCTTTTACCAGGTAAGAATCTTAAATATGAGACCTGGAAGCCTGGAGTTTCCTTTCTTCCTTGGTCCCACCTCAGAGCAATCACCATCCCTGCTCTCATCCTTAAAGCTGCCTTAAGCTTCCCTGCCTCCATGTGCTACTAAGAGCAACTAAAGCAATTTGAAGATGGCAGAACCCACTGCCTTCCCTGGCCTCTTCCTGTCTTCGTCTTCCCACACCCTCTTTCCTGAGGTTCACTCTGCCATATTCTTGTCTGCTCATGGCTTGAAACCTGATTGGCAAAACCCTTTTGTCAGAGAAACCCCTTACTTTCTCCCAAAACTCTCTCAAGACCTAAATGTATTCTCCAATATACAAAGCGTTTCATGCCTGACACTCCCTCCTTGTTTTATGTAATGCCGTACCTTGTTTCTGCAGTTTCTTACAACCGTATGACAAATGATGGTTTTTATATTCCCTTCTAAGTTTCTCTTAATTTAACTGGTTTTCATGCCTGAAATATATCAAACAATAGTTGCCAGAAACTCGGATTCTCTTTCACTCTCCTCACCTCACTAACATCTTGAGGGTTGGTTATTGAGAGAACAAGAATCAAAATGAAAGTGAGGGTCCCTGGTGTAGGGGTCTGCCGTTGCCTCATCCTCCTGTCTTCAGAACAGGGACAGAGGCTAAGAACACAGTTCCTACACTTCTATTCTTAAAAGCAGACTGGTTGCTATAGATGAAATGTTTGTGTTACCCAAAATTCATATGTTGAAACCTAATCCCTAATGTGATAGCATTTGGAGGTGGGGGGTGCTTAGGTCTTAAGCATGGAGCCTTCATGAATGGGATTAGTGCCTCTGTAAGAGCCACGCCAGTGATCCATCCTCTCTTCCACCATCTGAGGACACAGCGAGAAGAAGATGGCTGCCTGTGAACCAGGAAGTGGGCTCTCAGGAGAAACCAAATCTACAGTGCCTTGATCCTGGACTTGCCAGCCTCCAGAACTGGGAGAAATAAATTTCTGTTGTTTATAAGCCACCGAGTCTATGGTATTCTGTTATAGCAGCCTAAGTGGACTAAGCCACCAGTGTTCTGTAAATCCCGTTCTTTAAAAAGTACTCAGATTAGATGCCTATTCCAGGTTATGTGGAAGTAGAGCAAGAAAATTCTGTTGGCGATCCTGCACAGGTGTGCTCAGGTATGAACTGGATGACAGTAGCAAGGTTGACTGAGCCTTGGGTTCAGTTCTTGTTTTTGCCTTTTACTTGTTTCTTGACCTCAGAAGAAAGAGAGTATTTCTTATTATGCATCCACTATATTTTACTTATTCATTCCCTTGAATTATCTCTACCTTCCTGCTAGCACAAATAGTACTTTGACGAATATTCATTTGTCCTCTTATGGCTCTGTAGCAGAGTTCCTTGGGGCATGGCCTGGGCACACCCAATTTTACTAAATAAGTTAGCCAGTTCTCCAAAATGTCTTGTGCAAAACCACCATCAGTAAACCACCATGTGAGAGTTCCTCCACCTCCCATCCCAACACTTGGTTATACCCAGCTTTCTGATTTTGCCAATCTGATGGGTGTTAAGCAATATTTCATTGTTGTTTTACTTTGCATTTACCTGATTATAAGTGAAGTTAAATTTTTTTCTTATGATTATTAGCCATTCAAGTGTCTTCATTTAAAAACTGAGATTTTTTCTTCAAGATAGGAGATAAATATACTCAAGGCATATTTTCTTACACAGACCTCTCATTCCTATATACCGTGTCAGGCCAGTTATGTAGGTGAAAAATCTAATGTAGCTTCTACCAGTTTCTATCTCAAGAAGTACACTATTTCTAATCTTGTCCATATCAGAAACTTTACATACATGTTGGCAGAGATATATGAAATATCCATTTCTTTTTACATTTCAGAACCTCTTTCACAATGAGAACCACATCAGTGGGAAAGACTTTTGGCGGCAGATCCAATTACAGAGTGAATATCCCCCTAAGCTTCATTTATAATGAATTCTTGGTGACTTTGCTTGTTCTTCTGTTACATATCCTCTCAGGGCTTCAAGCTTTCTGGAGAGGTGTTGAGGGCAGAGCAGTTCTGAAAGCATTTGCTCTCATCTAATTGTTTCAACATCTTTCCTGCTTCCTAAGCAGAGATTGTTCCTGTGCTCCAAATAGTGTCCAGAATTTGAAGACAAGAGAGAGAAATTTCACCTTGTGAGACAGAAACTAAGAGAAATCTTCAAAGAAACAAGATTGGCCATTAGCAGAAGTCACATCACTAAAATGACTTGCTGATGTGTTACTGATTAAATTGGATTATTTCCCAAATGTCAACCAATGACAATCTAATCTTATCAGAGGACTTGATTGTATTTTCCCAATTCTACAGAAGGCACCAAACTAAGATTCTGAGATGAAATTACGTTCAACGACCATTTATTGTGTACCTGATATGGTCTCTGGGGTACTCTCCTAGATACCTTCATATATTACCGCACTTAACCTTTAAAGCAATCTGTTGAGGAAATAAAGTATTCATTTCATAGTTAAGGAAAATGGCATCTAAAATAACCTGTAATCTAATTGATTGTTGGTCTATATTGGTGTGGGGTCTGGAAAAAGGAGAGTCACAGAATAATGATTTGTAATGGTTTATTTACCAAGTATATCTGACCATTAGAAATGGTACCTCTGACAGGTAGAAGTTTTCCATAAAGAAGAGAGGGCTACTAAGATAGAGCAGGGAGTCAGCTCCAGTCTCTAGCCCTGCCTACATTAACACCAAACTTCCCATGCCAAGAATTTCTCTTTGTGAAATAGCTGGGCCCTAATTAGGTTTTCCAGTTCCAACCTACCTCACAATTTTCTTTTTTAGTCAAATTTGACAATAAATGTAAAAGACCTTTATAAAGTAAAGGGCATACAAATATGAATTGTTGGCTATTCTGCTGGGAAATGGTAAATTTTTTTAAAAAAATTCAATACTGATTTGCAAGTCAATGTCTGGTCACATGGAATTTGATTCCTTTTCTTACTCATTGCTAGGTGAACTGAAACAAAAAAAGTGAGTTTTTTTTCCTCACTCCAAAGTTGATAGCCAGAAGTGACCATACCAGGTGCATACCTGCAAACGAGCCCTATCTGAACAGTCAATAGATTTCATCCTCTTTCTAAATCCTTAGCAGCACTAAGCTGGTCTCAACCTCTCTGGATAGCAGCAAAAGAAAATCCTGCTGATTACTGGACAATGACTAAGGCAAGCAAGTTCCTGCAAGCCCAGACTTCCCTGTGGTGAGGTGTAGTGCTGTGGGATGTGGTCATCTCATCTAGACTAGTGGAGTCTATCCAATGACTCCAAACTTGTCTTATTTTTTCTATTGCCTCAGTTATTTATTGTTGTGTGAATTACCCAATAACTTAGAAGCTTAAAACAACAAACATTATCTCACACAGTTTCTGAAGATCAGGAATCAGAGAGTGGTTTAGCTGGGTAGTTCTGGTTTAGGGTCTCTCAAGAAGTGAAGTCAAGCTGACAGCAGGAGCTGTAGTCCCCTGAGGTTTGATTTACATGGCTGTTGTTAGTTCCTCAGCGTTTGTTGGAGAAGACATCAGTTTCTCATCATTCAGGCCTATCCACATGGGCTGCCTGAGTGTCCTCCCAACATGGCAACTGGGGTCTCCCGGAGCAAGGGAGAGAGAGCAAGCAGCAAGCATAGTACCTTTTATGACCTAGTCTCCAAAGCAGCTCACCATCACTTTGGCTTCCTGACATTTGCTTCATTCTGTTCACTAGAAGCCAGTCTCTAAATCCAGCCCACTCTCAAGGGGAGAGGAATTAGGCTCCATTTTTTTGAAGGGAAGATTGTCAAAGATTTTTTGAACATTTCCAAAAATTACCTTTTCTATGCCCAAACTTAGGCTTTGAACAGAACATATCCTTACTGATCCATAGTGCACTTCTGAGATCTGATCTTCTGAAGTTCAGATCTCAAAAGACTTCCAAATCCCAGCAGACGTCCTTGCTGAGGAGTTGGAAGACAACAACTCTAGCTTCTGCCTATCCACTTAAAGGACAACACGCCTTTCTGCCCAGCTTTGTTTTTTTTTTAAAAAACTAATTCTCCTTCTTTGTTGTCCTACAGCCATTGGAGGCTTATCCAGATGTCCTTCCCTTCTAGGGTTTGTTGAAAGAATCCCAAACTGAGATCTATCAGCTTTGTCCCCCAATACTTGGACAACTTTGGCAAAGAAAAACTTTTCTAGAGCCAGTGAGGGAGTAATAGATACCCTGTCTAAACCCAAAGAGCTATTGTCAGGTTCACAAGCAAAAAGACATGGGAAAATACTTTGGAAACTGTAAAGTTTCCTACATAATTGTTGTTAGTATTTTATCTACTCACTATAGGAATCAAAATAGAGGTGACAAAAAGCAACTGGGATGAAATTTCTAATGCAGGAGGGGGAAATGTTTAGTGACTACCTGAGGCTGAGTGGGAGCTACCTTGTGTCTAAAAGATAGCAAATTAGCAATGCATTCATTCAACTAGAATTTGGTGAGCATCACCATGTGCCAGGCTTTTTCTATTCTAGAGACACAAGAGCAAACAGAATGAAAAAATCTTTAGCCTTATGACATGTACATTCTATAAGGGAGAGAAAATGGGGCAAAATTTGACTTTTAAAACAGGTTCACACAGAGTTGGGGGGAATACTCTCCTGGAGGTAGTGTTTCATACATGTGAGTTTTGTCATGTAAGGGGTAATGAGTCATAGGAAGCTCTCAGGTGGGGTAGGTGGTATTACTGCCTCAAATGGTCCCCCTGTGCCTTCTACCTCAGGGAAGTCACCACAATGTCAGATGATTGGCCTCCAGATGTTGATGGCATGGTGCCTGTGGATTGCTCCTCCAGCACATGTCTGCATTACCAGGCTCCTGGAAGCTGGCAAATAAAAACCAAAGGGCTAATTTGCTAATTGCACAACATCACAGTCTTAAAATGGGTTTGAAGGAGAGGAAACATTACATAGCTCTAGCCTATAGGCTTACCAGGTGTTACTGCTAAACAATGAGAAACTCACTTATCACGAGAACAATAATGCTCAGTCTGAACACCAGCCCGTTTTCTTGGTAAACAGTGTCAGCCAAATTCCAATTTTTTGTTCTTATTGGAGTTGTATAAAAGAAATTATTATTAAGAAAATCTGAGGTCTGCCCACCATTGCTAGATCCTAGACAAAAAAACCAACAGTACCTGATTTACTTAACCTAGACGGGCTCGACACCTCCTGAGAACCTGTACAGTTCAAATTAGTCAACTTTTATGGAACAATTACAATGTGCAAAGTGCTCTTCGATGTGTTGTGGGTACATCAGAGAGAACTTAACCAAAACTCTGTTCCCAAATTGTTTATATCTGATAAATAAATGGCAAGCAATAGGATATATTGGAGCATATGAGGAAGACATTTAGTGTAAAACTAATTCTGCCTGACCTTGTTTTTCCAAAAGAGCCTGTGGCCTTTGAACATGCATTGTATATCTGCTTTAAGCAATTAATATGTCCCAAAGACAAGAACAAATGCCCTTAAGATAAGGATGCAACTTCCCCCACACTGGCCTTTCCTTAAGGATAAGCATTTCTCCCTAGGCTAGGATTCGATTGCTGCACTCATCCTGTGACCACCCAACTTGAGACAACAGACCTGTTACCTGCTGAGCCCATCAGTCGCTGTGCTTGCAGGGCAATCTTGTGACTATTGTAAAAGGGACATTGCAATTGTAGGATCCCAAAAAGGAAACCCCAACTCCAGTCTCGGGAAGGCGCGGACCCACAGACACAGAAGACCGAGCTTGATGCAAACGCAAGAGGTTTATTAAGCGGAGCTCTGGGTCGACACGTATCTCTCGCAGGAGACAGAGGAGTCGACCCCGGACCTTAAAGGGCAAATTTTTATATAGGGTTTGGAAGCACAAAGCGGGAAAAGGTTGGCGTGGTCTTACATGATTGGCTAATTTAAAACATTTAAACAGTTACATTTTATGGCGCGAATTGCTATGGCGCGAAGCCATTATCAGGTTACACACACGCGTCCGCATCTGGACCCCCTCCACCCCGACCCTCCCAAACTTATCCCTCGGGAGCACTCTTGTTCTCAATTCTTCCCCGAACAGTTTAGGGTGGGTCTTTCATGAATAGAGTCAGTCAGGATCGATAAACGTTCCCCCCTATACCAGGAATCCTTAGGGCGTGGAGGTGCCTGTCTCTAAGGTAGTAACTTTTTAATTTTTAATACAATTTTTACTTCCTTCACAATCATATGTAACACATGCTCTTTGAGGGTATATAACCACTCTGTACACCCCACTTCTTTGTGCCCTTCCTTCCTTGGAGAAGGAAGGCCCCTGGGAAGGCCCCCGGGCTATATGGTCCTCAAATTTGCATCATCATAAACTCACCTCAATTTTGATTTATAGATTATGGAATATTTGCTTCGACATATCCAAAATAAGGGGAGGGAGGTACCAATATCTGCTACTATGGATCCTATTTTACTTGATTGGCAAAGTTCCTTTTCTGTTGATTGATTCCTTCTTCTTAATTCCTTATACCTGCGTTATTCAAAGGTCGAGGGGTGACTGTGGAAACTCTGTTGCCTTTAAAGATGAACTGCAGAAACATTGTTGCTTTTAAAGATTAGGTGCCGTTAAGCAATTTCCTTTCCTTACATAGCTAATGTAACACAGCATGTAGGTCTTGGCAATCGCATTTATACCGGTTTCGCACGAGTAAAATCAGACGCTGTTTTTCTTAGAAGAGACCCCGTTATCCCTTCCCACTTCCCCTCAATTCCGCCCTTGTTTACATTCCAAACACCCAACCCAGTAATGTAACAGCTACTCTCAGTGAGAACGTTAGTGGCTCTGAAAAGAGCCTTTGGGAGACAGAAGGCAAACGCGCCCAGACAGTTGAGGATAGTTTATGCCCTCTCCCCGCGGATGCGGCGCGCGAGCTGGATGTCCTTGGGCATGATGGTAACACGCTTGGCGTGGATGGCGCACAGGTTGGTGTCCTCGAAGAGCCCCACCAGGTAGGCCTCGCACGCCTCCTGCAGCGCCATCACGGCCGAGCTCTGGAAGCGCAGGTCGGTCTTGAAGTCCTGCGCGATCTCGCGCACCAGGCGCTGGAAGGGCAGCTTGCGGATCAGCAGCTCGGTGGACTTCTGGTAGCGGCGGATCTCGCGCAGCGCCACCGTGCCGGGCCGGTAGCGGTGGGGCTTCTTCACGCCGCCGGTGGCCGGCGCGCTCTTGCGGGCCGCCTTGGTGGCCAGCTGCTTACGCGGCGCCTTGCCGCCGGTGGACTTGCGAGCTGTCTGCTTGGTACGAGCCATTACTAGAAAACTTCTGCTGTGAAAACAAGCAACTGGAGAGCTGATGCCGGACCAGAATTTATACTGATGATCTGATCCTGATTGGTCATAACTGTTACAGGAGTAACCTGATTGGTTCTTAATCCAATCTTCATTTGCTCCTACCACGCCCGGAACGGTTTTGTTTTCCATGCTGTCCTCCATCCTGAGTTTACTGTTTTCGGCCCAAACGTTAAGATTCTACCAGTGAAAAGGGAATCTGATCTGGAATTTGTGGAAGTCAGTGCCTAAATTGTTCTTAAAGAAACGCATTTTCATTGGAGCCTTTTTCTCTTTTCAGGTAATGTGGGGAAAAAATTACAGCAGAATAATGTATTCGTAAGTCCCTTTAGAAAGTAGTAACGGTTTCATAACTGTATCGTTAAGATTTGCTTTTAACGACTGTACCAAGACCTAGAACAAGGAAAATTTTAAGATAGATTGGCACACCGGCCCCCTAGAACACCACAACATCAGTTTGCCCAGCATGGTGTGGGAAGAGGGCAGCTTGTGTGCTTGACTGAATTCCAGTGAGTGATCTGACATCTTCATTAATGATTTCGATGCCATCAAACCGCTGGACTATTTAATATGTAAATTGCTTACCTAATTTAATCAGCAGGTGTGGAGTGGTGATTGATTTACATTAGTGATTAGAGCTTTTCCTGTAAATAGGGGTAGCTCTGAAAAGGGCGTTCGGGTTAGGATGCTTTTAGTTGACCAGTGGACCATCAGATTCTGCAAACGATAAACGCCCAGAAACAAAACAACAAAGAAAGTTGATTTAATATTTAACCTATTTGTTGAAGCAAATAATCACGAGGAATTTGCTTTTTGACTACCCAGAACGTTGTGTTCGTGGGAAGGGGACAATAAAGGCGGATGGTTTCAGTCTTATAATTGAACAAACTGTGAATTGAATGGTCCTTACCAGACCTGAGTTAACCTATCAAATCAAAAGGGAGGCTAGATTTCATATTCTTTAAACTTAGGTATTCGTTGTAGGTTTCAGAAGAGTGCTCAGTTCTTCCACAGAAATGGTGGGTGGCTCTGAAAAGAGCCTTTGGTCTTACAGACTTAAGTATGAATTCAGACTTTATTTGCCCTTGGCCTTGTGATGACTCTCGGTCTTCTTGGGCAGCAGCACGGCCTGGATGTTGGGCAGGACGCCGCCCTGCGCGATGGTGACTTTGCCCAGGAGCTTGTTGAGTTCTTCGTCGTTGCGGATGGCCAGCTGCAGGTGGCGCGGGATGATGCGCGTCTTCTTGTTGTCGCGGGCCGCGTTGCCCGCCAGCTCCAGGATCTCGGCCGTCAGGTACTCCAGCACCGCCGCCAGGTACACCGGCGCGCCGGCCCCCACCCGCTCGGCATAGTTGCCCTTGCGGAGCAGGCGGTGCACTCGGCCCACGGGGAACTGCAGCCCGGCCCGCGAAGAGCGGGTCTTGGCCTTGGCGCGAGCCTTGCCGCCCTGCTTGCCACGTCCAGACATAATAAAATATCTGTGACCTACGCCAGAAGTAATGGAAACGAAAGTAGAAAAATCCACATTTTATAGATGCAGCTGGGCGCGAAAAAGAAGCTGTGTCATTGGCTACAGTTGCAGTTCCATTTTAAACAATACAAAGGCAGTTCCTTAAAATGCGTGTTCTGATTGGACAATGTTGACAGTGACGTCATCCAGAGTATCCGCCAATCAGACATAGGACTTTACTATATCTTATTTGCATACGGACTTGTAAATAAAAAAGACACGACCCATCTGGTGCTCATTCTTTTGCTTTTCCGGGACTTTTTAACTCCCCTCTACTATGCCTGAGCCCGCTAAATCCGCCCCAGTTCCGAAGAAGGGCTCCAAGAAGGCGGTGACCAAGGCCCAGAAGAAAGATGGCAAGAAGCGCAAGCGCAGCCGCAAGGAGAGCTACTCCATCTACGTGTACAAGGTGCTGAAGCAGGTCCACCCCGACACCGGCATCTCGTCTAAGGCCATGGGCATCATGAACTCGTTCGTCAACGACATCTTCGAGCGCATCGCGGGCGAGGCGTCGCGCCTGGCGCATTACAACAAGCGCTCGACCATCACGTCCAGGGAGATCCAGACGGCCGTGCGCCTGCTGCTGCCCGGGGAGCTGGCCAAGCACGCCGTGTCCGAGGGCACCAAGGCCGTCACCAAGTACACCAGCTCCAAGTGAGCAGGCCCGCAGCTACCCACAACCCAAAGGCTCTTTTCAGAGCCACCCACACTTTCAGAGAAATAGCTGGTGCATTACGTCTGTAGTCTAGTTTCTCTTAAAAGGGTCAGGGGCTGGTTTGGGAGCGGAAGAAAACTGGAAGGCAAGGTAAAATGTTAAAAAGTCCTCCGCACGCATTCTTGGGTAAACATTTAGGAGCAGTGTCATGCCAATTTAGTTCTTTGACGCCCTTTGAAAAAGAGGCTTTCAGGTCTTGTTCTCTCCTACAATAGCCAAAATTCCCCTTTTGGTAACACTTTATCAAGGCAAGTAACGCCCCGCCTCTGATTGGGCAGCAGCACTATTTGAAAAGCCCGCCGTGGTCTGCAATTTGCCAGATAGTCTGTTATCTGGTAACACTTTATCAAGGCAAGGAACGCCCCCGTCTCTGATTGGGCAGCAGCACTATTTGAAAAGCCCGCCATGGTCTGCAATTTGCCAGGTAGTCTGTTATCGGGTTGTGAGTTTCCAAGAGAGTCTCCGGAAAGTACAATTATGACTTCTGCCTTTTCTGCGGGAAGGCACCGGGCTCTGAAGCCAAAAACCCATGAACTGAAAATTAACAGTTTTGTGTTCTGCACTCGGATCCTGAGCGAAGTTAACTTCCTGTCCATTTCCCTCAAACCACCGAATAGTTACTAACAACACTGCCTACCCTACGGAGATATTAGGGTGAGTTGAAATGATTTATGTCGCAGCGCAATGGGAACATTAAAGGTCAGGGAAGCTCCTTAAGGATAAAATGTTTAATGAGGAACCCAGCAACTTGGGAAAGTCGCGTTTTCCAATGTTTAATCGAAATGCGTTGGGTGGGAGATATGCCTGGACTCATCCGGACGACGGGGGGCGGCGGGCAGTTTTCAGGTTGAGAGTTGAGTCCACGATTAGAAGTCCTGCGAAAGAAGTCGAAGAACCCAGTGTTAAAGAGAAGCAGACCACAGAGGTAGAAAATTGACCAAAAGCGTGGGCTAGCTAGCAATACCAGGGAGTGAAGACTTCCAAGGCACGATGGAAACGGGAAAGTCCTTCAATTCCCCCCTCCCGTGCATCTTTCAATAGTCCCTAAATTCTTTCTTGCATCTCAGTGTTAACATCCTCTGCCACCCTATCATCCCCTCTCCAATAAATGATGAGTATTGTAAATCCAGTTTTTCATTAACACAAAATAACAAGCCCTCCACCACATCCCCACACCAGGCTTCAAGTCACCTGTTAATTTTTCCTGTCTTTATTGTCACTTTCCTTAAAGTTGTGGGTGTGGACTCGATCTCGGAGGAACAGTCTTGCTCCCGTCACAGGCAACAAACATCCCCAAAGTTGTGCCAATAGGTCAGCGGGTGGTGCAAAATAGGCAGGTTTGTCGTTCATTTCTCTAAAAGGAGGTTCTCTTTCCCCAGTCCCTGCGCCCCTGTCGTTAAGGCTTGGGGGTTGGTGACAGAGCCCACCGACAAGCTACCCTACTTGGTGGAGAGCAGTCCCCTAATTTCATTGTGTTCCTGAACTCGTCGGCATCATGCTCATCCTCTCCTCTTATTTGCTCTTTCGGAGGTTGATTTTTTTCCTCCATTCTTGAGAGATCATCTAAGGGATAATTACCGAGTGGGTTGGATAGGACTATTTGTCCTCTTCTGCCATCTTGTGGCAAAACAGCAGAAGCACAGATCCACGGCGTTGTGTTTTCTAGACCCAATTGAAACCTTTCCTAACTTCAACTTGCTGTGGACAGTCAGTGAGTTGAGGTAGGTAGAGTTACCGTTCCTGTCTTCCTTTGACCGCTGGATTTAACTCAGTTTCTCCAAGAGTCACTCGTGGGCAGGAGATGGAGGGAGACAGAGAGAAAGTCGTGTTGGGTTTTGTGGTTTGGTCAGAGCTGTCCAAACGAAAAAATCAAGAACCAAAATACTCTGCACCCTAAGATAAATAAAAAATAATAGGGTTATGTGCTCTCTAGTTCTGGTCCTCATGGTCCTCAAAGTAATAAACACTTGAGTGTTTCCTGTAAACTTAAACACCTGACAAAACAATGATACCCCTAATTTTTGCGAGGCTGCTCTTTGAAGATATGTCAGGACATATGATTATCATGTGACTAAGTTGCAATTTTTCCACTGTAAACAGGCCAATGTAAACTCGGTAACCTTGGTCACTTTGCAGTTTCCCTCCGCCTTAAATACTTGTGTGTGTGTGCATGTGTGTGTGTGTGTGTTTTCCCCAAAGTCGAATTCTCTTGCCCTCTTTGCAGGGAGACTTTTTCTTTTCTTTCCAAATGTTTCTGTTCTTAGTCCTCTTATGACAATTTCTACTGCTTAACCAAGTGCACACATCTATTAAAATACTTGTATTAGTTTGCTTGGGCTGCCACAACAAAATACCACACATTAGGTGGCTTAAACAACAGAAATTTATTTTCTCCCTGTTCTGGAGGCCAGAAGTCCAAGATCAAGGTGTTGGCAGGATTGGTTTCCCCTGAGGCCTCTTTCCTTGGCTTACAGCTGGCTGTCCTGCTGTGTCCCCATATGCCCTTTTTTCTGTGCTTGGGCGCCTCTGGTGTTGCTTCTTCTTCTTATAAGGACACCAGTCCTATTGGATTAGGGTCCCACTCTTATGACCTCATTTAACCTTAATTACCTCTTTAAATGCCCTCTTTCCAAATACAGTCACATTGGGGTTAGGGCTCAAACATGAATTTTGGGGGAACACAATTCAGAACTTAAGGCCATTTTCCATGCTTTGATCCCAACCTTCTATTCCAAATTGTCTTTCATAAAATGTCTACATTTAACTTAGACTGTGGCTAGAGAGATGGTTGTGATATTCCCTAAACCAGAGGTTAAGTCAAATGCTCACAAGGGCCCAGCAGATAAGAGTAAAAACGGCTGGATGTTAGAATCCATGCCTCATCTCCACAAAGAAAGGAGCTCTTTGCTATTTTTCTTAAAGTGCACAGATGTTCAACACTGTATATCATTTTCCCAGTTTTAATAGCATATTTCCCTGTTCTCTTAGTACTGCTTTAAGAACAACCACAGCACAAGGATGTTGATAAATGCCAGCTAACACGTGGAAACTAAGTGGGAACTGCAGAGAACTGAAGAATACAAAGCCTGTGCAAGGCAATTCCTCTTGATTGTTCCCTCGTGGGGCTGCAGACCCAGGGACAGCGAGTCTTTCAATTTTTCAAGACGATATGCATTTTAAAAAGGAATATTCTAAACTTTCAATGTGGGCAACTAATAAAAAATTTATAACATGGTGCAAACAAAAAATGTCTGCAAGCTTCATCAAACTCTTAATCTCACAGCTGGAGATCTCCAGACATTAACAGAGATTTCTGTGCCTGTGACGAGCTGTCCAGTATACCCTCCCTGCCACCAAAGCCCAGGTCCAATGCCCAGATCTCCCCAGCTTCCTAAATCCTCAACTGAAAAGAATCTGTTCCTCACTGGACAGCTCTGGACAGAGCACACGGTCACACACACAGCAGACATTCCAGAGCTACTTTCTGCAAGTTAAGCAAATGGATAGAGAAGTAAACTAAAAAAAAAAAAAATTAAAACTCTTTAAGCTCACCACCAGTAATGAGATAAAAATGGTGAAAGGTGTTTGGAGTTGTTTATTGTGGATGAGTAGTTATCTGGATAAATAAACCTATTCTTTTCTAATTATGTTACATTTCTCTTATTGTACTATGTTCTCCTCTACTTACTTTTTTTGGTCCTGTCTCAAAATTTCCCCCCTTTTCTTTAGTGATTGTTCCCAGCTCTCCTGAATAAAATGAATAAAAGGAAAGAGGAAGGTAGAAGCCACAAGGATCTTACGCTGAAGCTCCACCTCTTCCCTGCCTAGTATGACCGCCTTCTGCAAATGGCCTACGCTTGTTCCCTGAACCCCGCTTGTCTCTCTCTCTCTTTTTAGCCCCTTATTTCTGACTGTCTATTTAAATGAAGCATAGACTCTCAAATTCTGTTTAAATCAGACATCTATCTAGTGAATCACCGATTTTAATTTTTTTTTTTTTACTTTACCTCCATGCATATGGGAGAAGTAGGAAGAACCAGTTGTCTTCTTTTGATTTAACAAAGAAATATCACAAAGATAAAGTTCTTGAGGCAAAAAGGGGATGCAAATTAGCATCTTATTACTACGGCAACACATTTTTAAAAAGAAAGACAATCAAGTACAGACTTAGAATTTAAATGTTGCTGTCATAGGTCATAGTAACCATCTCTGAAGTTGATGTCTTTGAAAATCCTTCATCAGAAATATCAGGTCCATTTTATG